GATTTGGAATATACACGGGTCCTAACCAGAGATAACAAAGTGTGGAGCTGGAGGAAAACAGCAGGCAGCATCATAGGAACAGGAAGGTCAACGTTTCGGATGGGGACGTCCCAACCCAAAACGTTGACTTTCCCGTTCCTCTGATCCTGCCTGGCCTGCCTGTTCCTCCAGCTCCACACTGTGTTATCTCTGAATCCAGCATCTGCAGTTCTTGTTATCTCTGGGTCCTAACTAATTGTTTTCTGAGTGAGTGAGCAAGGTTAAACACAACCACCAACACATCTCCCCACAACATGCAAATAAACTCCCAAATATGATACAACATTGTTGATTTAGAGCTGATGCAATTTGCATTAATCCAACAATTTGTACTATAAAAGCAGCCACAGTATTAATAAGCATTTCACCAGTTCAGCAAAATGTGATTTGGATTGAAAGCAAAGGCATAAATGCCCAGATTGCCATATACTGTGCTGATATTTGCTTATAAACAAGAAAGGATACACAAGCCAAGCTCAACAAATATACACAGAACAATGGTAGCAGAAATCTAACAGATGATCATCTTCACACCAAAAATAGTGGCAAAGTGGAAACTAGTCAGCAGTTCAGTTGACCTTAGAGGCCATCACAATTGAACCTATTTCCAGGAGAATAAGTACCACAAAAAAACAGGTCAGCAAATAATCTCAGTGCATATTTAAAATGCACCAAAAACATCAGAAACCAAGATTTCATGGGGAAAGGTGGCCTTATGATTCCAATTTTGCAAGCAAGTCTGTTTTTATTAATTTGTCAGTTTAACTTCTTTTTTTCCTGTGACTTTTGGAATTTGGTTGCAATTCAGCCAACTTCAAGAAGCAGTCTGCATTGTAGTACCTTTTGTTTTTCAATGATGCATTGTGTTAGAGCCAGCAGCTCTTTCAGGTTTGTCAATATATACGTATCTAAAAGATAGCCTCAATCTTATGGCTCCAAACTATAAATCTTCTTAGAGTGAACCATAGATTTTCACTTGGCAGTAGATTTTGAGTAGATAAACAATCTTCATTAAGGAATCGAGTCCCAATTTACCAAAGGGAGGGAGAGAAAAAAAAGGTTTGAAGCAGATTATCTTTGTGGTGATGATACCATCAGTTATATGGCAAATAAACTGCCACTACCAGATTATCCTCTCTGCTTGATACAATCACTTCATACAATCTGATTAGTGCAAGAACAGCTTTTTACAACTTTATGGCCAATACATTTCTAACACAAGGAATTCTGACATTTATTTTGACCAACACTGCACGTGCAGACTTTTTGAGATGCAATCTGCTACACCGTTGTGGTTTTACTGGTGTAATTTGATTGATTCTCGACCTGGAATGCTATAATATTTTTTGTGTGGACAAGATTCTCAAAAACATCTACTCGAGATGATCAGACGTGGTTCATTCCAATTTGGCCGCCACGTCTATGATACTTGCAAGTATAAGACATAACTAACAGTCCCAAGGATGTCACTTGGCTACAAAGCGATACATGCTTATAAGGAAATGATTGTCTCAAAACACAGGCCAAATGTCTTGTAGTCAAATGAGTTAAGTGATCAGCTGTGACCTGACTTTTTTTTTGGTTGGGAGAGGAAGTTACCCTCCAGGAAGACTACCTGCACCCTTTGATAAGAATGTGTTAAACAATTCACAAGTTACTTTCCGTCTGTTCTTTGGCTGCAACACATTAAAGCATCAAAAACGAAAATCACTGTCTAAAAGCCACAATGCTGCAGCTACCAAGATGCAAGTTCTGGCAAATATTTTTATCACTTAGGACATTTCAAAAGTGTAGCTGGTCATAAGAGTCATAATGGCATAGAAGTGGGTCATTTTAGCACGTCAAGTCTACGGTGAATTTCAATGGGGCAATCCAGTCATTCTGTTTCCCCATGGGATTGGCTCTAAGTGCAAAAGGATTAAAAGTGGTACACCCTGCGTTAAGAGCTCTCCTCAGTTTGCAGGGAACTGGAACAGAATTTTTAGATTTGCTAACAACACTAAAACAAGGACAGCAAGGAACAGACAGGAGTCTTCTATGGAAAATCAATAAGCTAACAGCATGGCCAGTCTAGCAGCGTGTGTTATTTTAATTTTGACAGTATTCAGCAATAAGGAAGATGAGTAAGGAACGGCATGAGATACTCTCCAGAAAGATGCTGGAAGGACAAGGAGTCCAGCTTTCTCAAACATGTGGCTTCCCAAAAATGCAAGCACAGGAAAATGAAACCATAATGTAAAGAAAACACCATCTTTATGATAAGATGGAGCACAGGAACATGGAAATTGGGGTGGGGAAATGTAAATTTCCTTCTTAAAAGTTACCATTTGTTCAAAGGTCCAGATCCCCTTCTTTCAAAGAGGTGTCAGGGTGGACATGACTCAGTTTTCCCACCACATTCCACTGAGGCCAGGGAAGCAGGAATACCCAACAAATCTCCTGAAGGGAGACCAGGTTTTCCATTCTAGAAAGGACCTTTCAAAATCCCAACTATCCTGATCCCACTCCACTTTTCGGCAGAATTGCAATCGGAATATGCCGAGAGACCCACAGATTTACAAGCTGGCGGTGCAGTCTGGTAGTATATTTATCTTTAACAGCGTGTTAAGGCTGCTAACATTCTGTGTAATGTGCTGGATGGCGTACAGTGTGCCAATAACAACATCGGAGCGATTACACAAGCTGAAGATCATATGTGCCCAGCAACTTCCACTTTAGGTTCATGCCTCAGATTTGCAGTCACAGTCTTTCTCTGCTAGGCAGGCTAGCTGGGCAAGAATAAATAACCTACAGCTTGTGACCAGAAGAGCGGAATAACTATTTACATCTGCTGCCAGTGGTGATTTGCTTCCAGCTAGCAAAGAGGAAAAAAGCTTTCAGATACATCTTCACACCACAGCAGGAACATGATTATAACGTAATGCCGTCACCCAAATGAGGTTGCATGAAGTAGTATCTTTTTTGAAATATTACAGCACCAATTGCAGCAGGATCATAGTCACTATTACTCAGCAGCTGTGCTAATATAGACTGCAGCTAGAGCAGAAGAGGGGAGAAAAATAACATTGAGTCGAGATGCAACTGCCTTTTTCCAGTTGTGAATTCTAAGGCAGAGCATGCAAGCAGGGTCAGGACCCCAGGTGGGGCCACAAGCTGGATTTTTGGGGTTACGAACTCTGAGGGAGCGATACCTGCTATGGAGATCTGACCACGTTACAACAGCTATACAGCTGTCTTCGGGTTGGAGCTGTTCTCACTGTTGGTTTGCGACAATTTTAAAGCCTCAAAATCAAATCTCGGAGGTGAAAATGTTCGGGAGGAACTGCTCAATGGAGGAGAGAAGTGCACCCGAAAGTAATGTTGCAGTTGACTTCAGATCAAAAGTCACCCACATTAGTCATTCAGCCTTCTTTTAATTAAAAACAAACTATTAAAAGAACACACCATATTTATCATTTATGCTTTTATAAATGTTTGTCAGATCAAAAAAAAAATCAGTCGGTACCTTTTATATTGTGGATTAGTCTAAAATTACACTTGATTTATCTGAAACATGGTCTTGTAAAAATTAGCAAATTATTACTTCTGTAATTTAAACTGTCTCAGAGATACGTGATGCCAGTTTAATCACCATGTACCAGAAATAAAGCAAAAATGTGTGTAGAGCTCCAATACTGATGTCTTTTAGCACCTTATTTTCTCCTTGTAAAGTTCACAAAAAAATTAAAATTATCAAGTGCATAAATCTGCATATTTTTATTTAGTCAACATGAGCTGTGAAAGTTTTTATTTATCTGAGGGGTTGCACCAGACATATGTGTACGTTGGTTTCCTCAGTCAAATGCAAGTTTGATCACAAATAAATAATAATCAAACTGCTTAACTGGAAATCCGTATACATTCGGGAGAGGCTTTTAAGTTGAATTCAGCATTAAAATATAGCAATTTGATGCAAATTTGCAAACAGAAGACTGTGATTCAGCTGTCTGAAAGATTTTAAATCAGCAAACAGAAATGTTAATTAAAATCAAACTGTTTCTAATAAAATGCATTAGCATCAAGATTTTAAAGAAGTTACAGGAAACAGGATAATGTATAATGTGCAGGTTGCTTAACAAATTTAACATATTAGTCCAAATAGTGTTAATTTTTTCGTGAATGTAAAGAATGTCAAAGTGACAAAAAAATTTAACATCATAAACGTGGACCATATAAAAAAGGATTGCAAGTGAGTGTGTGAATAATAATATATGTATTAAAGAGTTTATATGCAAAAAAATCCAAGTTGTTTGAGATGTTAACAAAAATTTTAGCATGCTTGCTTTCTAGAAATCGATTTATATTCCACTCGGTTCTCCATGTGAATTATAGTAACTTGTCTAAGGTTATAGAGTAGATTTGTAGCTCGGGATGTGGATGTTGTGGTTGGTTGGCTCGCTGAGCTGGTTTTTTTTCCCCAGGCGGGAAAACACAATGGTGCTTCATCGGAGGCTGCACTGATGATGTTACCCAGCAGGGTAATGAAACGTCTGCAATACAACGAGCCAGCTCGGCGAGCCAACCAACCACATTATAGTAATTTGTTTCGATAAAATACCTATATACAGAGTCAACTGATGATCCCAAGGTGCTGATGGGTATTCAATATATGAAGAATGCAAGGTATTCTTAACTCATTCGCAAACATCAATCAAAATAAGTCGATTACACATGGGCAGTGCTGCCGAACATACTCTATAAAAGTACTAGATGCACAGACCTTACAAACCAAAGCCCCAAAACTATCTTTCCAATTTTCAGTTATGTTGTGCAAACAGGCCATGCAAAGCATGCAGGTGCTGACAATACAACTGGCCGAAGAAACTTTACTGGTAGATTGATATAAAAAAATCCAAGCATAAGATACTACAAAGATAAAGACAATAAAATGGCAATGGAACACGAATAGCAAAGGCACTTACAGTTGTTCTAGAGAGACAAGTCCCTTAAATGCTTGCCTGTCAAGTGATTGGATTTCATTCTTGTACAAATAGCTGAAACAAGAAATAATCATTGGTATTAGTGACCTGGCCACCTACAGCACTCAAAAGGCATTCTGGCCATCCAAGCAGATGTTGTCTGTTGGTGGGTATGCAAAAGATAATATTTTCAATCGCCACTTAAACAGGTGCTGCAATTTATACCGAAACACTAACCTTTAAAAGAACTTTAATCCAGCTTGGACAGTAGCCTTCCAATCTGGTATTAATGGACCACTGAGATAAAAAAGGAAGAACTGCAAAAGCTGGAAATCTTAAAATAAGTACAGAAAATACAGACAGGCCAGTCAGCATCTCCGATGGGAAACGTATTAATCAGGAGCAGGGGTAGACCATGCTGACCATCAAATCTGCTCTATTGTGCAAGATCACGGCTGATCTTATATATCAATCTAACTTCCCTGTCTTGATATTGCTTGGTACCCCAACAATGATCAATCTCAGCCTTAAAATTCCTCATTAAGAGAGCAGCCACATCTCTCTGGGACCTTGAGATCCGAATCAATAACACTCGGTAAAGAAATTGCTCTGCAGCTCAGTTCTAAATGATCAACCCTTTATCCTGAGACTCATAGCACTACTTCTAAACTCTCCAGCTAGGGAAAGGAACATCTCCCTTGTCAAGTCCTCTGAAACCTTTATGCATTTGAATGAGATTGTGCGTTATGTTTTTAAACTCCATTCTTTCTCACATCTCAGAAAGCAATCTAGTGCTTTTTTTTGTACCACTCAAAAGGAAGTATATCCTTCTTCAGGTAAGATTAACAGAACTGTACACATTACTGCAGGTATGGTCCCAGCAAAGCCATGCACAATCACAGTGACACTTCCTTTCTCTTTTCAATAAATGTCAGCTTTCTTCCCAAATTGCTTCTTGGGTCTGCATGCTAACTTTTGGATTCTTAGAAAGTAACACCCAAATCCCTCTGAATACCAACATTTCCCATTTTACCCCAGTTAAAATACTCAGGTATGCACCATTCAGTGGGTTTTTCCAGCATTTTATGTTTTACTTTCAGATCAATGGGCTGATGTACTTTTTTTAAAACAAGATTGCTTTTCAACACAAGCTGATAGCATTGCTATCTTAAATCTTTGATCAAGACAGGGCAATCTGCCGGTGAGGTTTGTAGTGTACATGTTCAACATAAAAATGCACTGCACTGCACTGAAAGAAATAATATAACAGGTACGGTCATATTTCCTGTAGTTCTCAAACATCAGCAAAGCAGCAGACAGGGAAGGAAAATTCTGGACCAGTACAACTTCTTGTGTAATTCCCTTCTTTTTACCAGGCAACTGATAGAAAAGCCATATAACAGCAGAAATGGGAAAAAAAATTATTTCTGTGTGGAATATCAAAATGAAGGAGGGTCAGGGAGAACAGCAAATGAAGGCAATGAATTAAAACAAAATGAACAGAAGGCCAATGATGTGGAGATGCTATATTGGACTGGGGTGGACAAAGTCAGAAGTCACACGACACCAGGTTATAGTCCAACAAGTTTATTTAAAATCACAAGCGCTTGGAGTGCTGCCCCTTTGTCAAGTGAAGTGGATGGAGGCATACAGGCACAGAATATACAAGCAGAGAGATCTGGCAAGATAATTCTAGGTAATTAAGAGTGTCAACAGATAAGTAGAAATAGTGAGAGTACAGTGACAGGCTGAATAACAAGTCTTTGCAGGTCAATGAAGCTATTTAACACTCCTTCATACCCTAACAGTGGGAAAATGAGACTTTTCTTTTTAAATCTGATAGTTTGATTAACTTCCTAATATACAGTGATTTGGAGTGTGATGAGGTGTCAACAACATTAAACTAGTCTAACGTACTTGGAACAGAAAGAAACTAAAGTATAGAATCTTCCAAATTGCCACAGCAGTCAGGCTCCCAGGTTCCTTGCTTCTCCCATCTTTTGCAACCCAACCATTGTTTCTCTCATTCCCTCTACTCTTGCCGAACTGCTATCCTTTATCTCTACTCTCCCTTAATCCTTCAACAGTGCTTTCAATCTCCAGTTCACCTCTGGCCAAATCTTCTCCCTCCCCTTCCTGAACTTGCTCCATCCCCACTTTTGAATGAGTTACATCTTACCCCATTCCCTTTGACTTCTCTCTCTCTCCATTTCTAATTCTCCATTCTATTTGGCATTTTGCTCCCTTTTAATCTTAAACTCTGTTCCTTTCCTTAATGAACCATTATAACTCAGCCAGGAAGGTATGTCAGAAGAATGAGTATTGAGATATGGAGCACAGAGGCCAGGACACAAACATTAATGGTTACTGTATATAGCAAATGGTAGGAAAAGCAGAGGTATTGATGCTCTTCACTGGAGATGACAAGGTCTGCAAACACCTTCTTGGTGTTGCAATGAATATTAATGACATATCAAAGTTCAGTAATCCTTTGAGTATTTTAAGAGCTGGAAATTCACAGAGTCATAGAGTCATACAAACATGGAAACAGACCTTTTGGTCCAACCCATACATGCCGTCCACCCCAAACTAAACTAGTCCCATTCGTCTGCATTTGGCCCAAATCCTTCTGAACCTTTTTTAGTCATGGCCACATCTAAATGTCTTTTAAATGCTGCAACTATACCTGCATCTACCACTTCCTCTGGCGTTCATTCCATATATGAACCACTCTCGTTGACTGGCAATGCTAAATCTTCAAAGCAGCCAACACCCCTGCTGGTAGCATAGCGACAAGGTGAGAAAGACAAGTTTCACGAACAATATTTCAGTGGGAAACAATACTATTAGGCAATGTTACTGATTCTCATTAACAGAACCCCGTGCTGACAATAATTCTCTTCCCTTCCTGGATGATAATTATCTCACAAATTCGCTTTCACACTATCCCAAAAGGAGAACGGAATTCAGGACTATTGTACTGGACTCTGACATCTGCTTTGTGCACATCTCTTCTGAGGAAGCAGGCAAGCACTAACACCTCTTTTGATTACCACTGTCCAAGTCATTTTATGAAATTTTGCCAGGGCTAGCGTTTTTCACTGAGTTATGCACCCATGTTTGCACTGGGAGACAATTAGAGTCAGACAGGGCAAAAACCTTTTCTCCCCAATCCTCACCAATGGAGAGCTGATAAGTTGGGTGACATTGAGAAGAAGACTGAACAGTGCTGGGACGTGTCACAAAGTGAGAGATGAGCCATGCTAATATCAACAGAGTGTATCCATTGACTGGCCGAACTGGCAGAGGAGAGACAGGGAAAGTTGGGCAAGACTTGGGGTGTGTATGCTGAGTAACAAATCAATGCGCAACACAAGGTAATAATCAGCAAAGAAAGTTGGATGTTAGACTCAGAGCAGAGGACAGCAATAAGTTTATCCCAAACAAACCTTCACATATCCCAGGCCAAATCAACAGTAAAGAATCACATGTCAACAAAGGGGTGAACTTTCCGATTTTTTTCAGCAATTTTAGTTTTGGTGAGATTCATGGCCTGCCATGGTCCATGTTGACTTTTCTCAAGCAAATTTCTGCTCTTCAGCTCATTAATTAGGCAACTAACCCTTTCAGTCCTGGGGTCATGGAATTGTGTGGCCAAAACTGGGAACTTGTGAAGTTGACACCATTTTTAAAACCCCAGCTCCAGAACATTTCTAAAGCTGCAAGCAGGAGCTGCTCTTCGCTCTGTGATTCTGCACAGTTATCCTGAAAGAAATTGGTTATGTCCACAGTTCACCCCATACAGACATGGAGTTGCTGGTGTTTGGAGTGATGGAAAGGAGACCATTGCTTTCTCCTGCTGAATGGCAAAGGAGCCCACGCCATAGACTCTGCACATAGGAAAGAGGCTGTGGTTGTTGGAGGTCAATCATCTCAGCTTCAGGACATCTCTGTAGGAGTTCTTCAGGGTAGTGTGCTTGGCCCAAGCACATTCAGCTGATTCATCAATGACCATTCTCCATCATAAGGTCAGAAGTGAGGATGTTTGCCAATGTCTGTGCAATGTTCAGCACCAACTGCGACTCTTCACATACCAAAGCAATCCATGTTCAAATACAACAAGATCTGGACACTATCCAGGTTTGGGGTGACAAGTGACAAATAAACGGCACACCTCACAAATGCCAGACAATGAACCATCTCTAGTAACAGATAATTTAACCATCACCACTTCCCATTCAATGGTGTTGGCATCACTGAATGCCCCATTATCTCTCCTGTAGGTTACTATTGACCGAAAGCTCAACTGGACTCGCCACAGTGCCATAAGATGAGGTCGGAGGTTAGGAATACTGCAGCAGGCATCTCACCTCCTGATTCCCCAAAGCCTGGTCACCATCAAGGCACAAGTCAGGAGTGTGACAGATTACTCCCTACTTACTTGGATGGGTCCAACTCCAATAACACTCAAGAAGCCAGACACCATCCGGGGACAAAGCAGCCTGCTTGACTGGCACCAAATCCACCAGGATCCACTCCCTCCATCACCAATGCTCAGTTGCAGCAGTGCATATTATCTATAAGATTGCACTGCAGGAATTCACCAAAGATCCTTCAACAGCACCTTCCAAACCCTTGACCACTCCATCAATAAGGACAAGGGCAGCAGATACACAAAACAACCCCACTACTTGCAAGTTCCCCTCCATCCACTCACCATCCCGACTTGGAAATATATTGCCATTCCTTCACTGTCACTGGGTCAAAAACCTGGAATTGCCTCTCTTAGAGCATAAAGGCATGTGGACTGTTGCATTTCAAGAAGGGAGCTCATCACCACCTACTCTAGGGCAACAAATGGTTAATAAATGCTGGCCTGCCAGTGACGCCCCTGTCCCACAAGTTGAATGTGTTAAAACAGGCCATGCTGGTGTGAGATAGAGGCCCAGGTCAGTGCAGTGTCCCAGGTGAAACACAACACATAGCAATGCAAGGAAGACATTCATGATTGTCTGTTGTCCACAAGGTAAGGGTCACCATCATCTCTCAGCTAACTCACACTCATGTGGGCACCA